GTTTAGGGTTTCGGGTTTCGGGTATGCGTCCTCGGCAGACAAGTTGCTGGAAGTTCAGAGAGGTGCGGCTTGTGCTCCGAGTTGCAATGTTTGAATAGGCTGGAAAGAAACTACAGCAATCAAAAGCACCGAATAAGACAAGCTCCAGACCCGCGGAAACCACACCACAGCTTCTGAAACCCATTCAAGAAGCGGTGGTGTCTCGGGACACAACCCTGTACACCTCCCACAAGCTCTAAAGCCAAAAACCCCAGAAATCCCGCAAACCTGCAGCTCAGCTACCGGAACGCTTCGGTGCATCACCGGACTGTTCCGGTAGCGCTCCACATGCGCCTTCATGGAGCCGGAACACTAACAATCATCGTAGTTCAGCTCACAATCCTCCCAGCACCACATGGCACCCTAAAACCTAACTTGTAAACTCAAGGCACAAGCCGCCCACCTGGGTGGGCGGCGCTCAAGCCCCAGGCAACCGATCGAAAGGCCGACCAGTACACCCAATTCAGATGGGGTCCACGGCAACTCTACACCCTAACCCCAAACCCCAAAACCCTGAACCCTCCACCCTGAACCCTCGATCCTAAACCCTAAACCCTCGATCCTAAACCAAAACCCTCGACCCTAAACCCTAGACCCTAGACCCCAAAACAGAACGTCAGGAAGCACAGCCTTGAACCCCTGGTGAGGACCACTCCAGCCCACTTCGCAAACCTGCGGCCAACGACCCGGAGTTTAGGGCTTTTAGGGGTTAGGGTTTAGAGGTATTAGGGTTTAGAGGTTTAGGGTTTAGCGTTTAGGGACCCGGAGAAACAAGTTAATGCAGAGGCCTTGATAAGAACAAGCCTTATACAGGCTTTAGGGTTCAGGGCTTAGGGTTCAATAGAGTAGGGTGTTGGAGGGGGGAAAAAGTCGAATAAAGACATAACTCCAACGGTAGCTACCCACCTGAAAATGTCCTAGATTTGTTGTCAGGAAGTCAGCGTCAATACCAACGTGCCCAACGGTCTCAGACGCCTCAGAACATCCGTTAGTCGTGCACAGATGTCCCCAAGCCCCACCGAGACAGGATAGACGCAGGCTGCATGTGAGGATCGAGGTTTATAGGTCTTAAGGGTTTAGGGTTTAGGGTTTAAGGTTTAAGGTCATGTCCTGTCTGAAGCCATTCTTGCCCCAGCGCCACCGGAATAGTTGGTAAGGGTTTGTTGGAAATCTGTGTGCGGGCTGTGTGCAAGATGCACAAAGGGTAAATTGGCAGACATGCTTAAGACGCGAGCCGTCATCAGAACAACCAGGCTCTGGATGCAAAACCCTCAAGCAAATCTACATTCTCCGGACAGTAGTCTGAACTTAACCCCACAATACTCTGAGAAACACCCTCCAGCACCCCATTGCAAACCTAGATCTTCGCTACTCGCATTGAAAACCCTGCGAAAATTCACTCAAACCTATAGGCCCAGAGACTCCGAACTCTTTCTCTTGACATACTTCTTTCGCGGATTTGAGGAACATTCCTTACTTCAGGCTTCTTGGACTCTCTGGGTCCATTATCCGGATCCTGATGCCTTCTGAGTTGCTGTTCTTAGTATTATTACTATTACCATTACTACTATTACTACTTGTACTTACTACTGCCATAGTTGTCATTACTACTCATATTCATATCCATATCATTAACAGTATCACGATTATTGCTACTATTGTAAGTACTACTATACTCGTCGTTCTCTAAGTTAGGGTCCGTTTTTAGGTCCCCAACATAGTACGGCACCCTTACAAAAAGGAGCCGACCCTAATTAATTTAGAGAACTACCCAGATAGGACCCTTATGGTACCATGATAGAAGCCCTATAAGCCCTTATAAGATCCCTTTAAGGAACCCTAAA